TAAAGCAAGCAAGGAAAAACCCCAAAAAAAAAAAAAAAAAAAAAAAAAATTTTTTTTAAAAAAAAAAAAAAAAAAAAAAAAAGCCAGACATGGAGCTAGAGAGATGCAGTGATTAAGAGTACTGGCTACTCTTGTACCTCTACAACCTGGATTTGGTTCCCAGAACCCACATTGCAGCTAACAATCATCTGTAACTCCAGTTCCATGGGATCTGATGCCCTTTTCTGGCTTCCACAGGCATTGCACACACATGATGCACATACATACCTGCAGGCAAAATACTCACACATATAAATTTTTTTAAAACCTTAAAAAGTCAACAAGATGGTTCAAAGGTTAAGGCATTTGATGTGATGACCTGAGTTCAGTCCCCAGGACCCACAAGGTGGAAGAGAGAACTGATTCCCACAAGTTGTTCTCTGATCACTAATGTGCCATATATGGTATACACACACACACCAAAAACAAATAAATAGAAATCTAAAAAGAAAAAACTCAAAAAACAATTGAAAACCTGGAGTGGTGACACATACTTGTAATCCCAGTGCTGGGGAGGCAGAGAGACAGGCAGATCCCTGGGACTCAATCAGTCTAGCCTAATTGGTAGGCTCTAGACCAGTGAGAGACCCTATCTCAAAAACTATGGTGGAAGGCCCCTGAGGAACAACACCTAATGTTGTCTTCTGGCTTTCACACACACATGCACACATGTACTCACACATTCACACACACACACACACACACACACACACACACACACACACAAGACAAAAGCACATTTACATATGGAGATGGATATAGTTGTTTCTTTTTACATACCATTTAAATCTCGGTTGACTACCTGAACTGCAGGATGCAGAACATCTTCAGCTGATCAATATTTTGATTTTTTTTTTGTCTTTTTGAAACAGGGTCTCCCTGTAGCCCCAGCTGTCCTGGAACTCACTATGTAGAGCAGGCTGACCTTGAACTCACAGAGATCCGCCTGCCTCTGCCTCCCGAGTGCTGGGATTAAAGGCATGCGCCACCACAAATAAAATATATTTTTTTAAAATAATTTTTTTATCTTTTTGAGACAGGGTCTCCCTGTAGCCCCAGCTGTCCTGGAACTCACTATGTAGACCAGGCTGGCCTTGAATTCACAGAGATCCGCCTGCCTCTGCTTCCCAAGTGCTGAGACTACAGGCGTGCACCACCATGCCCAGCCTAATATTTTGATTTTTTTAATGTTCAATGCTGAGAACACTGCTTCGCATAAATACATAGCACAAAATGGCAGAATTGTGTTTAGGGCCATTGTGGAGGGACCAGCAAAGTGGCTCAGTGGGTAAAGGTGCTTGCTGTGCAAGCCTGGCAACCTGAGTTCAATTTCCAGAACCCACATAAGAGTAGAAAGAGAAAACCAACTTCACAAAGTCCTCCTCTGACCTCCATTTGTGGCTTAGCACATGGTCTCCACATCCCACATCATAAATACACAATGATAATAAATAAAAATTTTTAAAGAAATTGTTGGGAATTCTGTCCTAATTCCAAGTCAAGATTCATTCATTCTTTTTCATGAATCTTGTCAGTAACTCAAACAGCATTTTTAAAAAATTCAAACATTCTAATACAGTCCAAAGATGCACTAATTTGATACTTACATGCTAAAAAATGACAGCAGGAAAATACTAAGTCTTTGTTTTACACAATTAGTCATTATATTTCTGTAACAGCAGGAAACTGGATATATAGTAAAAACACTTTCAATTCTAAGCCAAGGGGTTTTGTGGGGGACAGCATGCATGCACAGCTGTGTTTTCTGAACCAAGGACAAAGTGAACTCACACAATTCAGCATGGGCAAGCTCTCCCACAAACACCTGGGGTTCATTATATACTTGATTTTGAATTAAATTTTGGTCACTGTTCAGAAACCTTTTACTGTTGCTGAAGTTTTTGTGATCTCCACATTCAGTTACTCCATCCCATATGGGTTAGCAAGCCACAGTTTAAAAGACCTGGATTTAGACACTAATTTGAAATACAGCATGGGCTCAAAAGCTTGAGTGTATTTTTCCCATTATAAAAATACAAGAAAAGTGCCAGGCATGGTGGCGCACACATTTAATACCAGCCCTTGGGAGGCAGAGGCAGTTGGAGCTCTGTGAGATCAAGGCCACCCTGGTCCACATCATGACTCCCAGGTGGGCTAGGACTAGGGAAACCCTATCAAAAAATAAACAACAAACAACAACAACCAAAAAAAATATACAGGATGAGAACTAGAGGTATATATAGTTCAGAGGATTAGCACTCACCTAGCACATGTGAGGTCTTGAGTTATAGTCTCAGCACTGAAAAAAGAATCTAAGAATCTAAAAATCACAGGACATCTGCAGTTGTAAGGCCTCTTCCCAGGCACGGTCTCTGGGATCCTCAGAAATTTCCATCAAAGGCAGGTAGCCTGCATGTCCCACTGTACTGTGAGCAAATGAAGGTTCCTTCCATGATTCAGAAACCTGCTTACAATCATCAAGATAAATAATGAGTAAAAGATCATAAAAGAAGAATTCTGCCAAGCAGGCACTGGAACACTACTTCCTACAGAACTGTCTGGCTTTGGGCTGCCATCCCAAGCCCTGAGCTTCTTGTACTGTAGAACTCAGGCAGTTTCTGCTGGTCCCTGCAGCTTGTCAGGGGTAGTTTTCAGGCTGCCAGGACCAAGGGCAGGCTCTTGGGAGTACCTCCAGTTCTGTGATCTCCCTAGGCTTAGGTTTCCTAGAAAGAAGATAGGCATTCTCATTTCAGGCCCTCACACCTTTGCTGTCATGAAGATACCCTCCAGCACACTGGCCTATGCTTAGGAGGCCATAGGAAGTGTGGCTGGAAGAACCAGATAGCCTCTGGTAATAGTGCCATTCCCTGTTCCCTGGTCAGAGAGAGGTGGCAAAGATAAAACACCAGTACAATATTGACGAGTTGAAGCACCGGGAGGCGCAGATGCAGGCCCAGCTGGAGGATGAGCAGGGACAACGGGAGAAGCTGGCGGAACACAAGGTACCACATAGGAAGGTGGTCTGCCCTTACCTCAGAGGTGCCCATGAGAGTGCCCTGGATCCATGAAACAGAGGCCCACAGGGATCCCTAGAGTCCAAAAACTAGTAAAACAGTGTCCACAGGCTACTCCCTGCCTTAGCCCTTCTCCCCAGAGCCATCTCTATCTCAGCTCAGCCCCCCATTTCCTGTGCTCAGGCCTAAAGAAAGTGTGCTAAAAACAGTCTGTTCCAGTGGCTTATTAAGACCATCAGGTGGTTCCCCACATAGTAACTGTTTGACCTTCAGTTCAGCATGGACCTGAATTTGTGGCTATGCCCTGCTGGCTTCCATCCTACCAGCTCCCAACCCTCAGTGCAGCTAGACAGAGGAAATAGCCTGCAACTATGTCTTCAGGGCATGCCCTTCCCTATGCCTGGAATACCCCATACACCTGCCTTCCTCGGAGGGAAGGCTACAGCTCAGGAGCAATATCCCTTCCAGGAATCCTTGGCTGCCCCCAACCCTCACAGGGTTCCAGCTCTCAATCACCTTGTTGGGATGTTTTGACCTGCAGTTGGCATTCATCGAGCACTTGGATGGCTCTTTCCTGTTTGAGAGCTTGTATGCTGAGGACATGGAGGGCAACAAGCTGTCCTACCTGCCTGGTGTTGGTGAATTCCTTGAGGCATATCCTTCCTGGGTCACTGCTTCCTCTTCTGGTGTGGGCCTGACCCAAGTGCTACTAACCTGCCTTGGGCAAGTTCTTTCAACTCTGTACTTCAGTTTCCCCATCTTTCATATGAGACCCTGAGAGATAAAATGACCAGGAGGTCATTGAGCTGTGTGGGACAGTACTGTTTAGATTTTAGCAGGTACATTGAGTGGCAGTTGCTGGTTGGGCCTGTCATGCCTGGCAAGCTGGGTTTCTGAGATGGAGCAGTTGGTCTATGTGTCTATGGCAAGGATCCCCACAGGTCCTATTATGGCTGATGCTGTGATCTGGATGCACATTTCCTTAGGCAGCCCACCAGATGGATGTCATTAATAACCCTAGAGGTTAAGCAACTTGTACAGGATCATGTCATTAGAAACCAGGATTTTAACACCCATCTGTGGAGTCTTAGGAGCCTGCATTCGTCCTCTAGTTGGCCCAAGGATGTGATCATGACATCCAAACCATGGGCTTCAGTGGTAAGCTGTTGGACTCAGTAGATGTGAGGCATCCTGGAGCTGCTGAGAGCTCTGAGTTGAGCTAGCCAGTCCTAAATGGGGCCACCATCGCTGCTGTCAGCCTCCAGCCAAATTCAGAGACAGATTTACACAGAAGGAAGTAATATTTGGGAATAAAATGTGAAACTAGAATTGCAATTTGGGACTCCCAAGTAGAGCTCAGGAAAGACCAGGGCTCCCCAAGAAAGAGAAAAGCTGCTGCATTGTGCATCATGATGGTGCCATAGTGACAGGGTATAGCTTGCTCTTTTCCTGTCTCACAGGCAATTTCTCTGAGTTGAACAAGTGAGAGTATGTGGCTGGCTACTCCTGTGCTGGGTCCCTCTGTAGACAGCTCTTATATGAGAGCCTCCATCCACAGCCCTCCCAGCTCCTTTGACCACGTTGGTGAGCTCCTTAAGGCATGTCTTTCACACCAGTGACTCTGTTTTGAATCTGACATCTTTCTCAGTGGGTATCTACCGAGAACCCCAATTGTGAAGAGAATGAGGTGGGGCAGTGAAGTCAATGAGATGGGGCTTCTATGTGCTTGGCCACCCCTCTTCCAGGAAGCCTGGGTTCTCAGCTGGAGCACTATGAAGCTGTGGGATTTGGGGGTGAGTCATTTGATCTTCCAAGTACATCTCCACATCCCCATTGGATCCCTAAAGTTAGTGGGCTTTGCCTGTGTGAGTTCAATTTCCCAAGGACATTAATGTGGCCCCTACCATGCCCTCATCTGAGACAAGGACATTGAGGCCCAGAGAGGTGAAGTGTCTTGATAGGGTGGTTCCCAGAAACAGCAGCAGAGCCAGGACTTGAATCTGAATCATCTCCTTTCACTCTGTGTTTCTCTCTTAGCTCAGATGAGCACCAGGATCAGTCCTCCAAAAAAGGGCCCTTCTGGATGCTGTGCCGGGTTGGTTCCAACATCTTCCTGGACCCCTGGTCTTTGAGGGTGTTTTTCCTGGACCTTCAGTGGTGTTCCTGAATTCCTCAGACTGAGGGTAGAGGTGCCATAACCACCAGATTATGCTCCAAATTTGAACCCCAGCTCTCTGGGCCCTTAGTGTCTTCACCTGCAACCATGGGCTGGAGTCTGCCGTACAGTGTTAACAGTGTGTTCTGTAAGGAGTTGCCAACACTTTTGTCCTGGGTCTAGTGGCCTGATCCTGAGATAGCCTCAAGCTTCCTTAATGGCCACCTACCTACAAGGACAAATTTGTCATCATCTGCCTGAACATTTTCGAGTACGGCCTGAAGCAGCAGGAGAAGCGGAAGATCGAGCTAGACACCTTCAATGAGTGCATGCAAGAGGCCATCCTGGAAAACCAGGAGCAGGGAAAGCTCAAGGTTGCCAAGTTTGAGGAGAGACACCTGCAGGTAGGTTCCCACATCCTGTGCAGTGTGCAATAGGCTCCTCTCACTGGGAATGGCTGCAACACCAATGTCCTCTGGTGACTCCTGCAGTTCATGGTCTCTGCCCATGTGCCAGGGATCACACCTCTACTAAATGACCCAGCAGTAGTCCAGCAGCACCAGCCAGCACAGTGGACCTCCCTCACATCAGATGCCCCTAGGATTCAAGGTCACCCCATCTCATCTTCATTAGCAGTGACAGTGGCATCATCTATTCTACTACTGTGATGACCACCATGACAACTCTTATGCCTTCTTCTGCTACTGATTCTTTCATTTATTCAGCAGGTGTCTTCTGAATGTCCTGGCCTTGACATGCTGGTTCCTGTCTTTGGGGAGCTCCCACCTAGTGAGGCACTCAGCTCTGAGCCCAGCCCCTTCTCACCTGAATGAGTAGTGGTCAGTGTTGTCCTATGGAGAAGCTAGGGGAACCTTGGGAGACTCCTGGGGCCCCTCAGTTCAGACTTAAGAATCTAGAGAAGGCTGAATGTCATAGGACAGACTGGGCCATGTGTGGTAGTAGAGGGGAATCCCACCAGAGAGAGCTGCAAGCAGAAGACCCTGGTGTTCAGGACCCAGCCCAAGCAGGAGTTATTTGAAAGGACCAGTCTTTGTACTTGATGAGATGGTTTCTTTTAGTTATTATTGTTACTATTGTTGTTTTAGAGATTGAGTCTCACTATGTTGCCTAGGCTCATTTCAAATTCCTGTGCTTAAGTAATCCCACTACCTCAGCCTCTCCAGTAGCTGGGACCACAGGTGGCACCATATCTGGCCTAGAGGGTATTATGTATAGGTGTTTGGTTCAGCACTTAAAGAGTACTGGCTGCTCTTGTAGAGGACCTGGATTTGGTTTCCAGCACCTCGATGGTAGCTAACAACTGTCTATAACTCCAGTTCCACGGGATCCCATACTTTCTTCTAGTCTCTGTGGGCACTTGCATACACATGGTGCACTTATATACATGCAGGCAAAACAGTCATACACATAAAAATTTTAAAAATTAATCCCCTTGTTTTCTCTTTTTTTAATTTACTTTTTTCATTCAAACCTTTATTCCATCAGGAACTTGTTGTCATATAAGGCTTGTGGTAAGTGGTAGCTGAATTTCTTCCCAAACAGGGAACAGTACACATGTCCCTCACCTGGCTAAACCACTCCATTATTCTTTTCTGCTTCGTGACTCACACCATTGGTGACAAAAACAAAGTTGCATTTCCTCAGTTCTTGCAATGCTCCTAGACCCTTTGTTGATGAACATTTAGTGTTTAGGGCTACCTGGCCCACAGGTTGCTCATCAGCCCATAGGTACTGGCTCGTTTTGATGGTTCAGCCTGTTTTCCTTTGACTTCTAATTGCTCCTTGAGACTCTGTAGGAGGGTCTACTTGGCTTGCTCAGTGATTGGGTCTGTGTTTCTGCTGTGGAAGATATGGCTTTATCCCTAATTTGGCAGTGTTGAGAACTGGTGCCTTGAAGAAGTGACTAGGGGAACAGAGAGATGGTTCAGGGGGTAAAGGTACTTGCTGTGTAAGCCTGGAGACCTGAGTTCAATCCCTGGAACCCTCACAAAGTCAAAAAGAAAAAAACCAATTCCATAAAGTTTCATCTGACCTCCATGTGCACACACACATACAATAATAATAAATTTGAGAAAAATTTAAAGGAAGTGATTAGGTTGAAAGGAGGGATTGACAGATGTTTTTCTTGGGGTAGAACTGGACTAGTGACCTTAGAGGTGGTTGCTATAAAGCAAGCTCTACTTTCTCAGCACTCTTTTGTATCCTTTCTTGCTTGCCACATGACCCCTTTCTGTACATGTCTGTACCAGATACTTAAGAATGTACTCCAGTCAGGCGTGGTGGCGCACTTGGGAGGCAGAGGCTGGCAGATCTCTGTGAGTTCAAGGCCAGCCTGGTCTACAGAGTTCCAGGACAGCTGGAGCTGCAGGGAGACCCTGTTTCAAAAAGGCCAAAAAAAAAAAAAATGTACTCCAGTATGATGCTGTCCACCACATTGTGATGCAGCCAAAAGACCCTCAATAGAAGCCAGACAGACAGGGCTAGCTAATCGGTCTTGTACTTTCAGCCCCTGAAACTGTGAGCTAAATAAACTTGTTTCTTATGGTATTAAGGGGATCAATCTGAGACCTTTCTAGTATTAGGCAGGTGCTCTTACACAGAGCTAAATCCTCAGCTTGCATGTACATAGGTGCAGTCAAGACAGTTAGGACTGGGAACATACCAGCTCAGTAGAGTGCTTGCCTAGGATACACGATGCCCTGGGTTTGATCCCTGGCACTGCATCAACCAGGTGTGGTAGTGTACACCTGTAATCCTAGCACTTTGGAGATGGAATCAAGAGGATCAAAGTTTAAGGTCATTTTTTTTTTTTTTTGAGACGGTCTCCCTGTTGCCCCAGCTGACCTAGAACTCACTATGTAGACCAGGCTGGCCTCAAACTCACAGAGATCTGCCTGCCTCTGCCTCCCAAGTACTGGAATTAAAAGCATGTCCTAAAGCACATATTCTTATTTGCAGTGTTTAAATGCCATCCGAGAAGAGACAGAACTGTCCAACATAGAAAAGAAGCTCATAGAGTGCAGCGATGACATCAATGAGCTATTCAACATGCTCATGATGCTGGAGATGCAGCTGGTAGAGCAGCTGGAGGTAGGGCCAGGCCCAAACATGCCCAGAAGCCTTGTGACACAGCTTCAGAACCACTCCAAACACAGCCTCCACCAGCATGTCATATTGGCTTGGTCACTGTTGGTCCTGTGTTTGTTTCCAAGACCTTTCATTTCTTTTTTTCTTTACTGAGGAAGGAACCCAAGGCCTTGTCCATGCCAGGCAAGCACTGAGCTACATTATCACTACCACTGAGCTACATTATCAGCCCCTGCTTTCACTATATTTTAATGGCTTAGGTAGGAAGTGATTCTTTGGTGTGTATGTTCATATGTGATGGGGTGCATATGTGTGTGGGCCTGTGTACACGTATGAATGGAGGCAGAGGACCACCTCGGGTGTTATTCCTCAGGCACCATCTACCTTCTTTTTGAGGCAAGGCCTCTCATTGGCCTAAAACTCTCAAAGTTGGCTAAACCAGCTAGCCAGTGAGCCCCAGAAATCCACCTGTCTCCACCTTCCCAGTGCTGGGATTACAAGCACACACCAGATTGCTTGCTTCCTCCCCGCACTCCCCCGCCCCCAATGTGTTCTAGAAATTGAATTCAGCTCTTTGTGCTTACAAAGCAAGCACTTTACCAACTGAGCTGTCTCTGCAGCCTGGAAGTGTGAGAGGTGAACTTATTCCTCTAGAATGTCTTCTTTACCCCACCCCCAACCCAAAGCCTCAGCCTGTGAAGGTTTTTTCCACTGGACTCAAGAAGTCCAGGCACTTGCAAGACAAGACAAGGTGGACCTCCATTTAAGAACTAAACAAAGGCTCCTTGGTGTTGCAGCCCATGCTTGCTCTCTCAGGGCAGGTGATGTGAAGAGCCTACCGAGTGGCACTGAAGATGGGAAATGAAAAGCACGGCTGTCTCTAATGCATTAGCGGCCAGGGTGACATGTGTTTGCAGGCAGCCAGACTGGGAGTCAGAGGTGGTATGATGAACTGAACCTCATCAGATGCTGCTGTGGCTGGGCCAAGAGATAGAACCTAATCAATTCCTCACACATCAAGTGACACCTCCGACATGGGCTAGATTTGCTATCACAGAGCGCAGCAGCCACTCACATCCCCCTAGGAATTGTTCTGCTCAAGTACTGGAGCAGAACAGCCACAGGAGGGTGGCTGGCTCCTAATCCTTTCAAGCAGGGAGATTGTTCTCAGCATCCAAACACTTCCCAAATCAGAGTACTTGTCCTACTTCTATTACCAGCCACCAAAGGCTGAAAGACAGTCATCCTTTTCAATGACCCTATTTTTATTCTCCACAATGGTACTTACGCACATATGAAAATGGTCTCATTTGCTCAGCCTGCAGCCAGGCCTCAGGCTTCTGTGGATTCATTCCCAGTACCTTTGGCCCAGCTTGCAGTCCCTGGAGGTAAATGGCAGGTCAAGGGAGGAGTCTTCTGGGAGAGTAGGCCCATAATCACATTCTTCTGTCATTCTCTCAACAGCACTGAGACCTGGTTAGGCCTCAGGCACGCTTCTGGGCAATAGCAGCTAACTGTGAGAAGTCTGTGATAATGTCCAGCACTTACCAAACATCCTGGTTTTGCCAGACATCCAGTAAAGCATTTTGGGTGATGTAGCTCATCTACACACCCCTCTCTATACCTCCATGATACTACACAGGGAACCTATTATAACACATGTGGAACTGGAGGCCAGGAGAGGTTAAAGGACTTTCCTGGAGTGGAGCTGGATCTTGAGGGCTCTTGCCCTGGAGATAATGGACAGGTGCTGTTGAGAGACCCAGAAGGAAGGAGTTTATTCTAGGGGAAGGGAAATAAGACCAGGACGTGTACTCCTGGTAGAGGACACCACATAGGCAAAGGCCTGGTGACAGGGCCAACAAGATTGCTTGGTGGGTAAAGGTGCCGGCCACCAAACCTGACAACCGGAGACTCACATGGTGGAAGGAGAGAACTGATCCCTACAAATTGTCCTCTGACCTCACATACACATAAACAAATAAATATAATTTAAAAATTAAAAAAGTTTCCGTTTATAGCATGAATATTCAAGTGAGTAGTGAACTGACACTGGAGAGCAGCAGAGGGGGTGGTCTTTGCCTCTAAAGGTCTGTGATTTGAGGTGGTGCAAAGAACGTTGATACACATATTGACTATCCCCTTTATCATTCCCAGGAGACTATAAACATGTTTGAAAGGAACATCACTGACTTGGTAGGACTCTTTGTCGAAAATGTGCAAAGCCTATATCCTTTCTGTGATGACCTGCCATCCATGAGGAGGCACCATAGGCCCCTGGGGTTGTCCTAGCCTCTAGAGGAGCCAGGGCAGAGGTGCCTATGCTTTTAACAAAAAACAAGGGGTAGCAGAGCATCCTCAGATATTAAGAGGGCTGAGGATAGCTCAGGGGTAGAGTACTTGCTTAGCCTGGGTTCAGTCCCCAGTACCGAAAGAAGTAAAAAGGCAAGTAGAAACTAGGAAGACACAAGTACACAGGAGTTCCTCTCGGGTGGCCACACCTCTGCTGCTCCCTCTGTGGAGGAAGGTAGTGTGTTACATCATGCTTCACTTTTTTACCAGAAAGACCCAGTCCCCATTGGTTTGCAGAAAGGCCTACACCTCCCACAAGAAGGTGTTTACACTCCTGTCCTAGTTTGTTTCTCCATTGCTGTGACAAAACACTCTGACCAATACCAACTTGGGGAGGAAAGGGTTTATTTAGCTTACATATCCCGGGTCACAGTTCATCCGGGAGCCCAAGGTAGGAACTCAGGGCAGGAACCTGGACACAGGAGCTGGAGCACAGGCCATGGAGGAATGCTGCTTACTGGCTTGCTCCCCTGGTCCCTGCTCAGCCTGCTTTCTTATGCAACACAGGCCCACCTGCCCAGGGGTGGCACCACCCACAGTGGGCTGGGCCCTCCCACATCACTCAACGATTAAGAAGGTGCCCCGTGGACATGGCCATAGGCCAGTCCAATGAAGCCAATTCCCCAATTGAGGCTCCCTCAACCCAGGTGTGTCAAATTGACACTAAAGCTATCCAGCACAACTCCCCACAGAAAACTAGCTCATGGGCATCTCCATTTTTGAAATTAGAGGTATAGAAAATCTTTAGTTTTTCACCAAAGAGCTCCTGTTAAAGGATGCAGATTTGGTGATGTTATAGAATATGCCATGGAACCTGAGGCGAGTTCCCCAACCCCAACAGTGGTGGGCCTCTTAGAATTCCAGTTTAGATGCCCAGAGGGACTTCTGTGGCCTCTTAGAATTCCAGTTTAGATGCCCAGAGGGACTTCTGTGCAGTAGAATCCTAACATGTATTCCCAAGTGGGTGAAGCTCTTGGGGATGTGGACATCCCAGCATCATTGCCTGCCCCATGGCAAACACTCTGGAGTGAGACAACAGCTACACTTAAGACACTGATGAATTATAAGGAGCTCAGCAGGCTAATGTTAGGGTTAGAAGCCTTTTGAAACATGACCAATGCTTTGTGGGGAGGCTACTTCCAAGCTGTACCCCAGAAGGAATCAGATTCTACCATCCTGGAGCTCAGAGTTCAGCAGGCAGGCAGAAGCTGTGACAGTAGCAAGCGGTACTTAGGGTACAGGTGAGTCGCATTCAATCTGGAAGTTGGGGCAGCCACCTCCTTGAGCAAGAGTCTATTAAACAAGGACCTGAAGGTGGCTGCAGGGGCAGGGTAAACGGGAGCAGAAACAGCATGTGCAAAGGCCCTGAGGTTGGGCCAGAGAAACCAAGTTCCCAGAGGAGGACTTCAAGCTGTTTCAGAGAGCTCCAAGCTAGGGACCAGCTACCCAAATCCTTAAGCTTACACTGGCTTATTCTGCCATTGGATAAGAGGCAAGAGAGTGTGAGAGACTAGTAGCGTCTACTACAGTGTTTAGTTGGGAAGTCATGGGGATGGAGAAGCAGATGAGAGTGAGGACTCTGAGGTGAGCTGGCACTAAGAGACTGCAGGGACAGAAATGATATGGAGACTTGAGGATGGCCCTGGGCTTGATGCATGTGGGTGACACCTTGATGGCTATGATGCCTCTCAGCACTTCAAAGCTCAGTTTAGACTCTTAGAGACTGGTCTCTCTAGAAAAGGTGACATGGCCTGCTTGTCAAGAGGTCCAGCCACAGGTCAGAGACTCCTGGCCTGCTCTGCCTCCGGCTTTGCTTAACTCACAGCTTCAGGATGGCTCAGTGCCGAGACCTGGAGAACCACCACCATGAGAAGGTTCTGGAGACTGCCATCAACTACCTGGAGAAGATCCTCAAGGGCGAGATGGATAAGGACTTACCTGATGATGTACGGGCGGTAAGCAAGGGCAGGGCGCTGGGGCACAGAGCAGGCCACAGTGAGCATGGTGGTGGGGAGTCAGATGGATGTAAAATCTAGCCTGAATCCATGGCTTAACTTGACAACCTCCCGGAGTCTCGGTTTCTCCATCTGCTAAAGGAGATTGTATCCCACTTTGCAGGAGCATGAATGGGTAAATAAGTTAACAGGGTACCTCAAGGTCAGGATGATTTCCCAAAGTTCAGGTCTATAGGGTCTTCTGGCACTTTCTAAGGGAGACAGTTACAAACAGAGGTAAAGGTCAGAGATTTCCCCCAGGTGTCTTAACTTTAGTGTCTAGAATAAGGACAACTGTAGCATTGATATACTCCAAGCCCCATGTCTGGCCCAGCATGATGTCCCCAGTTCTACCAGTACATGCAGTGATAAATGTTGGGGATTAACAGGTCAGGCCTAGATGCCTGGCTCTGTCCTTGGGTCTATACCTAAGGAGGCATCCATGGGTCTACCATGGCTCCAGGAATAGCATGTGGATGTCTTAGGGAAGGGGTTCATCAAGGATGGATTGGCACAGGTCCACACACTTCCCTCGGGGGCCTGCTTTCATTCATGCACTATCAAGTTCCTCGGCTGCTCTCTATTACCATGTTACCACCAGGCCATACCCCGGCTGCCCTTTGCCTGCCTGCTGGCTTCATGCTGCCCCCATACAGGGTCTTCTCCACATGCAAACAGGTAGGTCCTTTGGAAACCCAGACCAGTCTTCACTCCTCCCAACTTGCCACAATCTTAGAGTGATTCTTCTCCATAGACCGCAGACACTCAGGACTAGGTCTACCTCCTTTGGCAGCCTCTGTCTTCAGTCCTGGTACTCAATGCCCCAGCCTCTGGGCTACACTCCTGTCTGTCAGACTTGCTCATTTCAATTGACATTCCATCTGACAGACATGCTCATCCCCACTTCCATGTGCCTTCAGCATCCTTGCCATCTAGATCGCAGTCCTCTGGAGAGGACTTCCCTTAGCACCTTGAAAACCACTGTCCCTCTACTACCCCATCAATTGGATCAGAAGCTTACCACAGTTCTAAACTCTGGCTCATGTTGATTTGCCTCTACACCTGAACTATACAGAAGCTTGTAAGGGAGGACAGAGATGGGCTGTCCATCACCATAGACCTCCTGAGTTAGCAGCAGTGACCAGCATGGAAGCCAGGAGTGACCCAAGAGCTAACTGGATGAGCATGGATTCACCAGGCTTTCACTCTGTCAGGAGCTAGGTTGAGCTGTACAGATGGAGGCCAGCAGCCCTGACTCTATAACCTCAGTCCTGAGGCAAGGACAGACATCCCTCAGATCAGCATGATGGCAGAGCCATAGTCACACCAGCCTTCTCTCCCTCAGCCACTTATGCAGCTCATTGTTGATCAAACAGGAAAATGCCATGCTGCCATAAACCAAGAAGTTTCCCTGAGAGACTCTAGAACCCTTTGATAGTCCTTGTGGGGTGCAGAGTTCCCAGGTGTGTGACACCCAGTGGACAGATCACTGAAGCATGCTTACTCCCTAGTGACTATGGCACATAGCAAAAGATGGGCCCCAGAGGCCATCAGCAGAGAGGTAGGCCAACCTTCCCTCTAACCCAGGTGGCCTGCCTTGTGCTGCGTGGCTGGCCATGTAGAGCTTTCTCACTGGTGGCTCACTGCTGTCCAGCCTGATCATTGCATGTGACATCATCATTTACCAAGGGAAGCACCATTATTTTTTAAAAATATTTTATTTTTTTGGTCTTTTTGAGACAAGGTCTCCCTGTAGCCCCAGCTGTCCTGGGACTCACTATGTAGACCAGGCTGGCCTTGAACTCACAGAGATCCACCTGCCTCTGCCTCCCAAGTGCTGGGACTACAGGCGTGTGCCACCACGCCTGGCTATATTTTATTATTTTTATTGTATGTGTATGAGTGTATTGCCTGCATGTGTATAAGTGCACCTGTGTTGTTCAATGCCCACAGAAGACAGAGGAGGGCATTGGATCCCTTGGAAGTGGACTTACAGTTATTAGCTGCCAAATGGGTGCTGGGAATTGAACCCGGGGCCTCTACAAGAGCAGCTGGTACTCTTAACCACTGAGCCACCTCTTCAGCCCCAGGAAGCACCATTATTATTATTATTATTTTAAGTCTTTTTGAGACAGGGTTTCCCTGTAGCCCTTGGTGGCCTGGAACTCTCTCTGTAGACCAGGATGGCCTCATACAGAGATATGCCTGCCTCTGCCTCCCAAGTGCTGGGATTAAAGGCATGTACAACCATGCCCTGGAAGCACCATTATTACCTGAGGTTACAGATGAGAACAGTGGGCCAGGCAGGCTCACAGATGCTTGGTGAGATGGCACAACTGCTGAGGACAAAAGCCTAAGTTCTGACACTGTTCTGATACAATGCTGGGCCGGTAACTGCAGTCAGCACTGCAACCTTCCCTATACACAAATGGCAGGCATTCTGGGGGTGCCCATGGCATTAGGCCATAGGGCTCTGCCTCTGAGCTAAGAGACTCCTTGGGCTCTCTGGCAGGACTGGGTGGAATTCTACTTCCAGGACCTTATGGGGATAGCCAGTGGGAACCCCTTTCTAAGAACATCCACAGTTATAACACAACATGGGAACCCAAACATGTCTTTCATGGAAGCAATAGAACATGCCTGTTTTCTCCAGAAGAAAAACACCAACTGTGAGGAGTGATGACCCCACCAGTAGCTGATGTGTGCTGCAGCCTCTGAGGGCCAGCCTGCCAAGAAGGCTGGGCACAGAACTTCCTTCCTCCTCCAGCTAGACATGAAAGAGGAGGCATCACTGTGTTTCTCTGCAGATGAGGGAAATGAGGTGCAGAAATTAAAGTAGTAGAACTGGATTTGGACCAGGGCAACTTGGCTCACCAAAATCTTTCCTGGGCCTATAGTCCAGAAGAGGCCTATAGTCCAAAAGAGGACAAGGGCAGAGGGTAAGAGCAATCTGCCTTCCATTACCCAGGAATCGTTGTGCAGATTGTAATTACAAAGTCACACAGTTGAGGATGTCTTCAAAACACCTCTCTAAAGCCAAATGCTGTTGGCCAGGTCACACTTGGGCCTTGTGTTTCCCAGCCTGTACAGAATATGAGGACACTAAGCTGGAGAGAGAGCCCAGAGCCAGCAGGGAGGAGGGATGTCACCTGTACTTATAGGGCCAGTGCTCAGATCTGGTCCCCAAATTTGTTTGAGGGCAGTCTGGATGAGACTGGTAAAGATGGGGTAACTGCCACAGATTCCAGCTGGACTGAAACCCCCTCCCACACAGGTCCCTGCTCCATCAGGCCTAGCTGTTCCTTGACTGTGGTGGAAGGGGATGCAGGCTCACCAGGTGTGAGAGAATGACCTGCTCCCACATGCTACAGGACAGCAATTCTTCAAGCAGCACTGTGGGCCTGGGAAGGGTAGCGACTATGCCCCTCAAAAACCCTGTCAGAAAACAGAGCTGAGGGGCAGGAGACATAGCTCAGTGGTCAAGAGCATGTGTTACTCTTCCAGAGGACCCAAGTTTGGTTCCCAGCACCCATATCAGGCAGCTCACAAACACCTGTAACTCCTACTCCAGGGGATCTAATGCTCCCTTCTGACTTCCATATGCACCTGCACACATTGCAGACACACATAAATGTACATATTTTAAAATAATTTTTTTTTAAAAAAGAAACTAAGCTGAAAGCTGAAGGAATGTATTTTTACCACTGTAAGGACCACCTCTGTGAGGCCAGCAAGGCCTACAGAACAGGATGGGATATCTGGGGAGACAGGGATGGCTGCAGTTCCCCATAGATTGTCCTAGCTCCTCCCCATACCTAGTGCCTACAACCTGCAGAAACTGGAGGGCAATCCAGAGTATTTTATGCATAACTATCCTAAGAGGGAAAGCTGGAGGCTACCACTCTAGGCCACTTGAAGTCCAGAAACAACTTGTTAGTGGCATTTGGAAAGAATTTCTTCAGCAGGTATGGTGGCAGCACACCTATAATCCCAGCTACTTGAGAGACTGAGGCAAGAAGATCACTTGATCCCAGCACTGGGGAGGCAGAGGCAGGCAGAACTCTGTAAATTTGAGGCCAGCTTGATCTAAAAGTGAGTTCCAGGCCAGCCAGGGCTACACAGTGAGACCCTGTCTAAACAAAAATAAAAACAGACCTCTTCCTGAAAGCAACCTGAGGTGACCTGTGCCATGAAAATAGTTTGTACTCTCTTGACCCAGAATACTCCACAAAGTTATGCAAATTGAAAGGTTCAAATCTTAGCATTCACTTTAAGAACACCAGTGTACCTGCCAGAGCTATCAAGAGTATGCATATCCAAAAAGCCACCAAATATCTCAAATATGTCACATTAAAGAAGCAATTCTGGTAGTGTAATGGTAGCAGCTGGACACAGGGTCAGTGGCCCCCAAAAAGTGCTGAATATTTGATGTACATGCTTAAAGTTGCAAAGAGTAATGCTGGACATCAGTGTTTGGATGTAGACTCTATAGTCATTGAGCATGTCCAGGTAATCAAGACAGAACCCACACACGAGCTTCCCTGCCACATTGAGATGACCCTTACTGAAAAGGAACTGTTACTAAGTCAGAAGAGGTGGCTGCACAGAAGAGAAAGGTATGCAAGAATAAAGTGAAGAAACAAAAACTTATGGTACTGGAATAAATTCAGCATGAAAGAAAAGTGAACAAACAAAAAAGAGGATCACTTGAGCCTAAGCAGTGAAGGCCAGCCTAGGCTGTTTAACAAGATTGCATCATAACAAACAATCCCAAGATTTTCCTTTTGTTTGTATTTTCTAAATCTCAGTTTTTCAGGACCAGTTCTAACTCATGTTACTAAGCAAACTTTGGATTTTTGTACCTCACAGCCTTTGAAGTCATTGTCTAGACATCTGAACTCTGAGCAAGAGATTTCTTTGCCTAGCAGTTTAGACTCATTTTCTAAAATGAAGGTTGATGCTGTGGCTATGGCTATTTCTAAAATAACCAGGGCACTGGCTCCTGAGCAGACTAAGTATGGGCAAGTTTTCATCTTTGACTCCTTCCCAGAGCCTGGCCTGGTGTCTGGAATACATTAAGGAACTTAATGACTTCCCGTCATTTCTAGTGTTCTTGTGCTGACTGGTTTTCTCTAGGAACCCCGCACCTCACACCAACTAATCTGGCTTTTCTCACATGAGATTCTGTAGAGAACCAGCATCCCACAGACATTACGTTAAAATGGAGTCTGGGGCTGGAGAGATGGCTCAGCAGTTAAGAACATTGGTTGTTCTTGCAGAAGACCCGGGTTCGAATCCCAGCACCCACATGGCAGCTAACAACTGTCTGTAACGCCAGTTCCAGGGGATCCGACAGACTCTTCTGTCCTTCACGGGCATTGCACAACATGGGTGCACTTATCTACATGCAGGCAATATATGCATAAACATAAAATTAAAAAAAATAAATTTAAAAAATTTATAAAATGCAGTCTGACCATTAAGTTGGAAAAGCAAGAGAGACAAAAGTCAATAGGTTTGTTTTCCACGGGACTTCCTTTATACAACCTTCAGGACACTTTGGGCCCTGCGAATCTTCCTTTGGAACCTAGGGGTGCTGGATTGCCCAAATATTTGTTCAAAGAATACATTTTTGTGGGTTTTTTCAGAAATATTGACATTTCAGGATTCTACAAGAACATATTTTAGAGACCACTAAATTAACCAATACTATAGAAAATGAAGCCCCCCCCAAGTACTATTTATTTATCCCTGAAACAAAAATTTTGGTACACTTGGGACTTCAGATTTCTGATTAGGAATGTTTAGAAGAACTATGCAAAATATGCCAAGTCAGAGCCTGTTAATTCTGAAACCCCTTTAACCCATGCATTTCAGACAGGGGCTGTTCTACCCATGGGTGTCCCACTTGAAGTTCTCTCCACATAGAAAACTCAGGTCCTTTGCTATTCTTGCCTTTATAAAGTACCTTGGGTTCAAGGTGGAAGCACTGCTCCCTAAGAGCGTCAGCAAGTTCCCCTGCCTTGGGAATGACTGCTAGATTTTCCCCACAGTGTCCACACCAAGAACCAACCAGGCCTCCTAGATGGTGGGTGGTTGTAACAACTTGTTATAAGGCAGCAAACAATGCCAGGAACTAGCGAAGGAATGCAAGGTTTGATTCTGATGACATGAGAAGCAGTAGAGACAAACAGGAAGTGAACACCCCACTTACAATGCTTACTGTTGGAGTAGCCTTGAGACCTTCAGCGAGCCTCTCTCACTTGACCTGCAGACTGGAGAGCCCTGGAAAGAGGCTTTGTGAGACCTGATATCCTAAGTGAGGTTGTCCTGCCCAGCCACCTGCCATTTCCCTGGGGAAAACGTGCTCCTGGTGGGACTTGGCATAACACCTGCCACAGCTCAGATTGGGGAGCAGATTGTCACCCAAGGATGAGCTGGCACAAGGTGATGGATGTAGCATGGGCTTTCTACCAGGTACAACTGCATAGCCAGGGGCCTCTTTTCTATTCAGTTCCCATACTTTGTGCTCAGGGCACAATGACATACAGGATCTCATTTGGGACTTCTCACCTTCCAGCTTTTTGTTGACAAAGACACGATTGTTAATGCGGTTGGGGCATCACATGACATTCACCTCCTGAAGATTGACAACCGAGAAGATGAGCTGGTGACTGGGATCAACTCTTGGTGTACCCATCTAGTAGACAAGGTGAGCAAACACCAGCCAGTAGGCTGGGTCAGTTTTCTAACTACCAATCAGAGTGAGGACATCTTCCCTGGTAGTATAAGCTATTTTTCATTCAGAAATGAAGTAGAGAAAGGAAAAAAAAGGTTATAAGGATAAGATCTACAGTGAAGATAGTATGGCCTAGTCACACTTCTAAATCCATATGCCTCCTTGTTTGACTCCTGCCTCAGATAGAGACCAGCAGAGCATGGGTGGGGCTCTGAAGTAAATGAGGTACAGAAACTGCAGAGCTTTCAAGGCCAGTTTTCCTTCCCTCTTGGGTCTCAATAAATGATGTTAGCTAGCATAACACTCAGTCCCTGGGCTTTCATTTCATTCCCCAGATTCACAAGGATGAGATCATGAGGAACCGCAAGCGAGTGAAGGAGATCACTCAGTACATCGGCCACATGCAGAGTGAGCTAGACAACCTGGAATGTGGTGACATTATAGACTAGTATGAGCCAGACAGTGGGTCCCCTTTAGAGCATGGACCTAGCCCAATTACAGGGATTCCTTAGCTCGCAGCTCCCCCAATACCATTCTATCTCACCCTTGGGGGAAAAAATCTCAGTAAAGAAAAATAAAGGTCTGGTATCGCTTTTCTCTTTGAGGGAGATTATGGTGATGATCACATTCATGCCTGAGTAGGACCAGGGTGGCTGATATTTGATTGAAGGTGTAAGGTTATAGCAAAACACTAAATCTGAGTCAGTGCTCTTCTCTCAGCCATGCCGAGTAGGCTGCAGGGTGGGCCAAGTCCTCCCTCTTGAATGTTGAGGACCAAGGAAGCCAGAGAGGTACAGCTCCCACCTCAGCACTGAGGCCTGGACTGACCTCCAAGGTGGAGGCCACAGTTACCTTTAGCTCAGAACTTGGCTGCGTGAACCCAAGGACACGCAGTTTAGAATGCAGGCTGGCCACTCTATCTCTACCACATTACCTGGGCTTCATCTGTGATACCTTCTCTGAGTACCATGGAGGGGTTCAGGAAGCCAGTGCATGGGAAGTATGAAGAGGCACCCAGAATGGTATCAAGGCCTTATGAGTAGGGCCAGTGCCATTTTGTCCCTCAGACATGTGGGGACAGAGGCCTGGAGCACCTTTGCTGCCTACACATTTCCCTTCCACTGGGCCCATTAAGGAAGAATGCCTGTCTGCCAAGACTGGATAAGCCAGGTTGCCAGAACTCTCAGGATTCCCATGTGGAAGATGAGCAGAAACATGTTAGTCAGCTTCCCATCACAATAACTAAAAACAATACACCATCAGTTTATCAAGAGTAAAGGTTTATTTTGGCTCTCAATTGCTGAGGGTCCAGTCCACGATCAGTTGATACCACTGATTTGGGGCCTTGTGGTGAGGAGTACATCATAGCAGGAGCACACAAGTAGAGTAAAACCACTCACCTTATGGCCAAAAAGTAAAAGAGGAGGAAAGGAAGGGCGTCTCACAGTCCCCCTTGATGGCACACACTCAGAGACCTAAGGACATCCCACTAGGCTCTGCCACCCAATAGCAAGACCCTGGGGGGTGTTGGCCTTTGACCCATGGGGTTTTCGGGGTAAGTGACTTCTGGGGAGTCTACTTCTATTCACATCTGACAGAGAGGCTAACAACAGACCAAAGAAACAATTCCATCCAAGTCTTACTTAACAAACCAATGGGTTTAATTAGGACTACTAACATGAGCATGAGCAATTTACACAGAAATCTTTCCCTCTCTTCTAGCAACTGTTAATTGCATATATATCCTTGGGAAGGGGACAAACCTTATGAACCTCGTAGACCTTCCCCTCCTCCCACAAGAGAAGTTAGTAGGTCCAATCTTGTGAAAGTCTCAGGCAGGTCATAGGCTTTATTAGGCTGCTCTGATTTCTAGATGGCAACAGCCATATTATGCCTGGAAGATGGAGTTCCACATACTACCTGCCCCTCTGGCTCTTTCATTCTTTCTGTTCCCTCTTCTACAATGTTCCCTGTCCCCTTGGAGGGGGTGATAGAGATACATTTTATTTTCTTCCATTTACAGCTGACCATTGGCTGCTATACCCGCAATACTCGATTATTCTCAGCAGTTTGACCAGTTATGTGTCTCTGCAGTGACCTCCACTCAGGATTACAAAAAGAAGTGTCCCTAAGGCCAAGAGCAGCAAAAATCTATGGGCATAAGCATAAATGTTTAGGAAACAATTTGAAAATCAAGCATGGTGGCACACACCTGTAATCTGTGGAGGATTAGACGTTTAAGGTTATCCTCAGCCACACAGCTGAGTTCAAGTTCAAGACAAGCCTGGGCTAGAGACCCTGTCTGTCTCAAAAAAAGGAAAGGGTTGAGGAGGCATTTAATAGATAGGCATATCATATCTATTTAACAAGACAGCAATAGCTTCTCCGTTAAAGCCTATGACCACCTTAGCCATGGGTTTTTGCCTTGGCATGGGTTCCCACCTTTAGAGTGGGCCTTAAACCAAATGGAAAGTAGTTATTTATACCAATGTGTCATGCCACTGTTAACACCACTGGCCACATCTTATATGACCTGCTGACAGTATAACACAGAGATGCACAGCTAAGCAGGACTGTTAAAAGAATTCTCTCCTATCTGCCTGCACAATGCCCTCCAGCACTGCCAACACTTGCCAGGGGGAAGGGAGCTTCCAGCTTAGCCCCACCCTGACCTTTACCATATCCTGTAGCCAAAGCATGAAGCCAGAAGGGTCTTACCATCTAGTTCTGGCATGTAACCAAGAGGAGTGGAAATAGCCTGTATTGTGTGTAGCTTTGGGGACGTCCCCCACCAATAAATCAAGGGGAAGCAGCCCACCCCTGGTCCTGACTTTTCATTCAACAGCCTTGTGTCTTCTGGGTGTGCCTTTCCCCACATGTACAAGTGCCTTCTGAGTTGATATTTATAGGCACAATCTACTGTAGGAGTTTCTCAATCACCTTGTCAAGTGTCACATGTGCCTTCTCTAGCCACAAAATTCTCAAGAATTTCACAACTATGCTTGGCCTCTGTATCCCATATGGGGTGATTTCCCATCAGTGTTCCTCCAGGTACACTGGCATGTCTTTCAGAAACATTTCTAAATCTGTAAAATACTCAAGAGGTTAACATTATGTGATGAAATCTTTTTACAAAGTGGACAGGTTCTTTGAACACCCACCACCATCTGTTCCAAGCAAGTGCCAACTGGTCTTAGGATTCAGCAGCTAAGGGGATACTAAAAAGAAAAAAAAGTCCAACACAAGCATGAAAAGTGTCCCATTGCTTGTATAATTTCCTCAAAAGAGCAATGTTATAGAGTGGTGTGGTAGGACGCAATGCTTTCTTTAGCTCTCTGCAATCTAGTCCTCCTCCATGAGACCTCCTGTCTCCTTATCCTGGGTCAAAACACATCTCTCCAAATCCGGTGAGCCTGGAGAGGCCTATTTCATATGTCTCAGGAACATGCTCACCTATTACACCAGCTACTCGAGCCGGCTTCCCAGATCTAACAGGGTCTTAGCCAGCACCCCTATAGTCTTTAACCCTCCTTGGCCACACCTGGCTACTCAAGGAGCCCTGAGCTGGGCAAATAATCTCCATACCCAATATACTTTCTTACAAGAGAGAAATGTACACAGAGCCCTTTGGAGAAGCAAGCATAGTCTTTCTGACCTGTACTGCCTGGTTATGTCTTCTAAGAGCTGTTGTTCAAGCTTTGACATTTTCCAGAGACTCACTGAATATGACTTCTTGTCAGCTTTAAATAATTTTATGTGTATGAGTGTTTTGCCTGCACATGTTTAAGTGCACCTGTGCATACAGTGCCTGTGGAGGCCAGAAGAAGGTATTGAATACTCTGGAACTAGAGTTATAGATGGTAGGTCCTCTC